TATTATAAAAGTTTATCGTTGTCAAAAGAAGACTTACAAAAACGAAAGAATCAATGCTCGCGACATCGACAAAAATATGCGCGACCAAATACACCAGAAGGTATAATATTGTATTTTATTATCACTTTTATATATTACTAGCTGGTTACCCGGGCTTCGCCCCGGAGGACATGTGTAATAATACACGCAAATAATCTCGCTCAATAGTCTCTCTCTCTCTCTCTCTTTCTCTCCCTCTCCCTCTCCCTCTCCGAGATTTGGTCAATTATTTCGCGTAAGAATTAAAAAAATTAGAAAAACCGGTTTCCAGAAAATCGGTAACAAAAAACTATACACTCTATAGCACTCCCCGGAAAATTCTACCCCTATTTTATTTGGTTCTAATATAAATTCGGTCCAATAGTTTTTAAGTTAATAACGTTTTTTTTTTATTTTTCTAATTTTTAGGTGTGGTGTATGTTTGAACGTTTTTAACTTAAAAACTATTGGACCGAATTTGTATTAAAACCATATAAAATAGGGGTAGAATTTTCCGGGGAGTGCTATAGAGTGTATAGTTTTTCGTTATCTATTTTCTGAAAACCGATTTTTTAAATTCTTTTACCCGTAAAAATTAGAAAAATTAAAAAAATCGGTTTCCAGAAAATCGGTAACGAAAAACTATACACTCTATAGCACTCCCCGGAAAATTCTAGCCCTATTTCATGTACTTGTGGTAAAAATTCGGTCCAATAGTTTTCAAGTTATTAATGTTCAAACATACACCACCCGTAAGGATTTTATATAATAGTATAGATAATAGTATAGATATATAATAAATATAATCTTTTTAAAGGTTTTTGGAATCCGTTGTTTCCCGATACATCATCATCAGACTAAAAGCTGAAATGTTTCGTCATTCAAATCTGAGGCCCTATTCTAGGGCTTGCTCTAATGATTTTGGTATGTGACTTTCTATTTGAAAAGCATTGAGTTTCGCATGCGAGTTTCATGAAAACGATTCAAGAATAGCGCCTCTGATTCTCAAAGCTTCATCGCGACTCGTGGTACAGAAACATTATAAAATGATGTATACGTACAATCCTTTGATTAATGTATTAATTGTAACTAAGTGATGGCTCGTAGTCTCATATTATTGTTTATTTGAATTAATTTGATGTCACTTTGACATCATTTTGACTAGGTTGTTTTCACTGGGTAGAAAAAGGTTACTAAATAAAATTTTTTTATAATTACTTTAATTATAGAGTATTACTTTATCTTTGTTACAACGTTTCAACCACCGATTGTGGTTCTTTTCAAGTATAAGCAAAGTAACAAAGAAAAAGTCATAATTCACCTAATAAATTCGGTTTCGTCGAAGGTGGAATATATAAGTACTGTAATACACGTCTATATCAATTGACATTTACATTAATACTAATTGAAGTTTTTAATTATTTACTGGCATCAATAAGGAGTAAATTTTTAAAATTTTTTAAATGTTTTTTAATAAATATTATACAAGTATATGTTATGTTTCAGAGGTAGTTAATCAGACTGAAAAAGTTTCAATAGAAACTTTTAGTCAACTTATGCAGGCTGCATTAAGAGTTGCCAAGCAAAGGCATCGAGATCGAGTTCGAAGGGAAAAACTGAGGCATCGTGTTAGAACTGGCCGACAATATTTGCAAAATATGCATGATTTATACAACAATAATGAAGATGCTCGAAGACCAACATGATCTAAGTTTCTACATAATATTATTTATGAAAGATAAAGATTTCAAGATCTTATAATACATATTATATTTTTTACTTTACTATGTTTTACTTTGTTTAAAATATTTTGTTTTTCAATAGAAGGCGTTTTCTCAGTCCAATAAGCCGATTTCTTTTTTAAGGCTCGGATAGAATGTATAGATTAAATTGTCTAATTCAGAGTTAGAAATTTTTTTTTCTAATATTCTCTGAACGCCTTTGAGTTAGTTGTGCAAAAGTTACGTTTAGCAATTCTAAATTAATACATGCATATTATATAAGTTCTAGTTTTGTTTAAAATATTTTGTTCTCAACAACAGTTCTTGATTTAGAAGTATTTATCGAATTGTCTAGTCCACAGTTAGACAAATATTTTTTGTTCCTATTTTGTTCTTAATAGTTTATATATGTAAGGAAATATTCATTATATATATATATATATATATATATATATATGTATATATATATATATATGTATATTGAAAGTAAATTGAAATGCTATATAAAGTACTATATGTACCGCTATATAAACTGCAATGTTTGTAATATGTTCCTAAAAATATTTATAAAAATTAATAAAAGTGATCATACTTGATAAATATTTATACTGTATTCATCTTATATAATTTTGAGTTTTGAAAAAGACCCTTTCAAAATGATACATTAACCCTCGTACGTGTAGCAAAATTGCATAAATAAAGTGCATGAAGGCTCGCCTGGCCCCCAGCTGATCCCTCGCTGCACCCAGATTGAATCGCGACGTCAGAAGCGAAATATGACACGCTGAGAATTCTTGTGGGCCATTTTTAAATAAAAAGATATTTA